TATGAAGTAGATGTCAGATATATCCCCAGATGAACAAACATCAGAAGTTCTCTATGTGCAAGAAAGTTCAATAACAACAAAAAGTCACCTTCACACATATTTGGTCTGGGCAAGGAAGATCAAGTAGTTGAGAATCATACAGATCATGTTTAAATATGGTCCGCTAGATTTGAAAGGTTAAAATAAAACACAGAAGCGAGGTATCTATTTTCAAAATCCTTTTCATAGATAATGTCATAATGTGTGACCCTAAATAAAAATACAGTAAAATGAAAGGTTAGGGAAGTAGATAATTAAGCATTTCTGAATACTGAGTGAATAAAAAAGTGCTACTATCAACATTTATGCATAAGAAATAAAGCATCTCTAATGAACATGGGCTCTTCCCAGGCTATTTGTTTTGTAACACATATTTGGAGGAGAAGGATGATCCTAACAGCTTTTTCCATGATGTCAAAAGTAGGCTCTTCTCTCATGTCCATGATCTTTCTTCTGCTACCACCACTGGAGCTATGGGTACTATGATGGGTGAGACCCACAAAACTCCACCTGGCTGCTTCCCTTGCTTCCCTTCCTCAGATGTCCATAGTCTCCTATTATTGGCTCTGGAGTCTCTTGCAAGTTTCCCTCATTCACCTTACTCCCAACCTGGAATCTTCTTCAAAACATAACTTACAGATCTTATAATCTGTTTTGACCAATCACTACTATAGGTCAAAGCTTTCTGTTCCTCCTATTTTCCATTTGGGAAATACAGTCTCTCTTTTTTTCTAGGCTAAGTTACCTGACTGTGGTCAACAATAACACCAGTTTTTTGTTTTTTTGTTTTGTTTTGTTTTTTTAAGACCTCCCGGAAAGTCAGTTCTCTCTGATCCTGTTCTAAAGTAACCAATTTTGATTGATTCAGTTACACCAGAATCACTGTGTTGATTTCAGCCCAGTATTTCAGACTGATGAAACAAGTTTTAACCTAATGCTCCCATTGATGATCATATTAGTGATAGCATTTCTCTCAGAGATGTGTCACCTGACAGAAACACAATATAATATAATGGTTTCATTTTCTAGCTCCAGTATCAGAGAGACATGAGTTCAAATCTCACCTTGGTCACCACTAACTGTGGACTTAGTCAAGCCACATCAATTCTCTAAACCTCTGGAGATAAAAATAATAGTAACTACACCAAAATGTTGTTTGATTACATGAGAGTCATGACAAAGGTTTTGCATAGGACTTTATGCATAACACACATTCAACCTCAACTATTATTTATTTTGAGATGTACACATTCTCTGGTCTCAAAAAGAAGTAAGATATCCATCAAATAATACATAGAAAAGAACGAAGGCCAGAGCCCTCCCGCACTTTTTTAGAGACCTCCCTCCAGGTCAGTACTTTTCAAACTACAGGTTAATGAATGAGAAATTCATTTGGTGAGTCATACATTTGATAGTTTTTAACTAGAATAGAATGCTAATGAATAGAATAGAATAGAATGAATAGAACAGAAAAATGAATAGAATCGAACAGAACAGAATGTATCAGTGCATTTCTCTATGTTGCTGCATATGCACAAACATATGCACATGAGGATATAACATAAACTGCATTTCTTACTGTGGGCCACAACAACAACAACCTAACAACAAAAAAGGATTTGAAAGCCACTACCCTCGTCTGATTCAGAGCTATTAATATTAAACACATTCTTTACCAATGGTATACTATTTAGGAAGACATCACTGCCCCCTACTGGAACTCTTGGATTTCTCACAGAAAAGGACAGCAATCGATTAGCCTGTCTTTTCATTATCCATGTGACAACCATCCTCTCACCTACCCTGTCTGGAAGCTCACCTCAAAGAGCCTCATCCCTCAAGCTAGTGTGATGCCCTGGACAAGGAGTCAAAGGCAGCACTAGAAGTGGCATCTGGGTTCTCACCTTTAAAATCGTTTTGAAAGCACAGCATCCTTCCCTCTCACCTGCCTCACAGAGTCTCTGCTGGGAAGCCAAGCCAAGCAGCCCCATTGCGCAGTTCTGGCCACGCATGTTATTCTTGATCCTGCACCATGGCAGCTGGGGAGAATCCTCACCCCCTAAGCAGCCACTTGTCTCTGTTTCTCTGGGGAGAAACACCCCTTAGAGGAAGGTGAACGAAGTGCACATTCCCAGAGCCAGCACTTCCAGCAGCCTCCATCCTCAGGTCCCCTGAGTTCTGGAATAATCAGACAGAGTTGGGAGAGAGGGGATACATATCAGGAAAGATATGCCATCCCACTGAAGAGGGAAGACCGCCAAGTGAAAGGCCCAGTAGCAAAGAGCACCCCTAACATACACACCCTCCCACTTACGGTGTGGGAGCCAGGAATAGATGTGCGTACTAATAATCTACTCAGTTCTGCTTCATTGTGACAGCTACCACCAACTGAGCATTCATACCAAGTCATCCATACATCTCATCTCAGTTAAAAGTCTGAGCAGAGGAATAATCGAAGCTTAAAGAGGTAAAGTAAATTGCTCAGGTCACTCAGTGATGAAAAGGAGAAGGAGCTTCAGACCCAAGTGTCCCTGAATGTAGGATCAGGATGCCCGGCCACACCTCTAGGTTTGGCTGCACTTCTCAATGTCAAGGCTTACATGCCCCCAAAGATGAATTTGCTTTAGCCATTTCCTTGTCTATGACATAAATAAGTCTGATATAATTCCGACAGAACTGGGCTCAGGGAAGTTAATTAATTTGCAGTACACACAGCTAGTAAGAAACAGATTCTAACCCAAGTATGCCCAACTCCAAAACACATTCCATTGCCCCCACCTGAGCTGCCACCCGAGTGAGTGCAGAGCCCCATTCCCTTGAATTTCTTCCTTCTTTGCCCCTGTCCACACCTCTCAATGGGAGCAATTAAAAGAGGAAAAGAGACCAAAACTGTCAAGGTCATGAAAAACAAGGAAAGGCAGAAACTGTGATAGACCAAAGATGCATAGGGAAATATGGTAACTAAATCCAATGTGGGATCAGAAGGAGAACATTAGTGGGGAAAACTGGTGATATCTGAATCAAGGCTGGAGTGTTTCGTTGCAATAGCCACCTCCACTGCTGCCCTAATCCAGTCTCATGCTGCTTTCAGAATCATCTTTCCAAAGCACAAATCTGACCATGTTTCTTTCAACTGCTTATAACCCTTCTATACATTCCCTTCAACCTCCAGGTAGAATCCAAACCCTCTTTGCTTCCCTGAATCTGCTCCAGCCTCACTGCACTCACTGCTGTTCTCAGAAAACATTACGCCCTGTCCACCCTCTGGACCTTTGCTTGACACATGCACTGTCTGTCAATAGCAACCTGCTGGTCTGCAGTTAGAATTAAGTAGGTATCCTTTTCAGAACTCAGTTTGGATGTCACGTCCTCCAGAAAGCCCTTCCTGATGCCCGTAACCCTGTCTGGGTAAAATCCCTTCCCCTCAGTACCCGTAACATCCTGTAATTAACTCCAATCACAGTGCTTCTGATACTGAATCATATTACATAATATATCATTTGCCCCTTTCCTGTCACCCAGCTGAATCCCCACTTCCCCGCAGTGTGTGCCCAAACCTGGCATTGAATGACACTGACCCTCATCGGAATGAGCTCAGTCCTCCTCCCTGCTTAGTCCATTTCTCTGAGTGCCCAAGGAAAAAGTGGTTGGTGCTAGTCTGTCATCTACACTCTCTGCCACTTATTAATCTCTCTGTTTTCAAACAATGCCAGATAAGGCCTAGACTGGGTGCTTGCAATGAGCAACATGACCTAGCTTGAAGTTAATGCGTTGTTTTATTTTCATTGTATTTGCCGTTATTTACAGAATTCTGTTTATGGAAAACAATACAAGTTTTTCTTCTATATAGACTAGTCATCCTTTATACAAATAAGTTAATATGGCCGGGCGTGGTGGCTCATACCTGTAATCTCAGCACTTTGGGAGGCCAAGGTGGGCGGATCACGAGGTCAGGAGATCGAGACCATCCCGGCTAACATGGTGAAACCCCGTCTCTACTAAAAATACAAAAAAAATTAGCCAGGTGTGGTGGCAGGTGCCTGTAGTCCCAGCTACTCTGGAGGCTGAGGCAGGAGAATGGTGTGAACCCAGGAGGCAGAGCTTGCAGTGAGCTGAGGTGCGCCACTGCACTCCAGCCTGGGCAAGAGAGTGAGACTCCGTCTCAAAAAAAAAAAAAATAAGTTAATATGAGTAAAAGAAGTAAATCAATTTAGAAAATGTTTTGTAAAGGCTCTTTGGTGCATATCATGATAAACGCATGCATACATACACACACGTGTACATATATACATACAACTGTGAAGGCACCCCAAAACAGCAGAAATCCTGTCATTTGTACAACTAAGTCCTTGAATCATGAGACCCTTGCCTCAACTACCGCTGTCTTTGCCACTAACTACCAATGTGTCTGGGAGAATGTTACCCTTCTGTTCCTCAGTTTACTCACCTGTAAAAAGAAGAGAATATAATTGGGCTATACAATTATATTATTTCATCTCTCCAATACTATTTCTCATCCTGTTCATACAGTATAAAAATAGCACTGCTGAAAAACCCAGAGGTGAGGTTCTTTTATCAGAGGACAAATATCTGAGATGTGCAGAGGTTAAGTGACTTGCCCAAGGTTGCACTGCAATCTAATGTCAAAATCAAGACCAAAATCCAGGTTCCCTTTAGTGACAGGCTTCCTGATCCCTCATCCTAACACCCTCCATTTCTGCATATTCCCTTCCTCAAATAAACTTCTGCCAAATGAGGTGCATTATATTTACAAAGAGGAAGAAAATGAACACACACGCATACATATATATACACATGCACAATATAAAGGCATCTTAAAATAATGGAAACGTAAATAAGAAAAGGACAAAAGCAATATTGGATTTCAAAGTGTTAATACTGTTGGACAGGGAACTAGTATACCTGAAAGCTGAGAAAACATGTTACAGGGTTTTCCACAATGTTGCAATGCCCTCCTTGTTCTTTATTTAAATTAGATGTAAGGAGCCAGCAGCCACACAGCCCATATAAGTTTTGAGGGAACAATTAGAATAAAGAGGGTAACTAGATCATCTTTGGCTACGATACACTTTTTTTTTTTACAATGTTTAAGTAGAGACCAGATCCAATCACCACTTTACTCTCTGCGGATCATGAAAAAAAGGTAGCATCAACATGTTTCCAAAGGGAATAGTTGGCTCACATTTTAAAAATGAAATCTTTAAACACTTTTTAAAAGAGTTTTAGCAAGAGATTTACATATAGAATGTAGTAATTGCAATGATATCACACAATGTTTTTCTTATTTTTAAAAAAATATAGTCTTACCCTTGTCTTTGGAAACATGCTGAACATTTTGATAACTGACCTGGATACAGGTAAATTCATCAGATTTACAGGTAAATCAAAGTGCACAGAATCGGGGAATTTTAGCTAAAATCTCCAGTGAAATGTAACATGAATAGACACAATGCTCTTCACATATGTGTGTATGTGTATGCATATGCAAATGCATATGTATATTTGCAGCAGTTGAGAAAGATCTGTCCAAATAGAAGTTCAAGTCAGAAGACACAGAAGTTTCCATTAATTATATAGCTCAATGGAAGCCAAGGACAGATGTGGTTGCTGGGGAGAGGAAGAATCAAATTAAGTATAGTAACATCCCTCTGTACTCTTCACCCACCAGCCAATGTCAAAAGCCTGGTGCAGTTATGGAAATCGCTCTTTCAGAGAAACAGAAACAAATCTGGCCAGAGGAGAGTGAGTGGTCAGTGGGAAAAGGGAGGGGATCTGTAACCTGAGTCAGATAGGGAATGGCCAATGGCATGGTTTCCAGGGCTGTGTGAGCCTTCTTCAAATATACGATGTGTAACTGTTCTGGAATGCGTGTGCCCCTGACTGTCTCCCAGGAATGTTGTTGAAAGGACTATGCATGGGAGATTAGACTGGATAGTCTCAACCACAACATCCCTCCCAGCTTGGGGCTTTTACAGCTTGTGGTAGGGGCAAAACCGCATCTATTCTGCATGGTAGTGGATTAGATAATTTTACTAATTAGACAATTAGAAGCTTCTCCTTCCTGGGAATACTCTCTAGAGTAGACAGCCTTTCGACAACCAACCACATCTCTAAGAGAAAATATGTGCCAATACGTAGATAACCTTGATGACTAGAAGATACAATCGTGGCTCAACTCACCACTCCCATCTCACCCTGCCATATAACTAACCATCTGGTCAGTCCAAGAAGCTAGAAATTAAGGGCAGATGGTCTGATAATAAAAGCTAAACTGATGGGCATCAGATGCAGGGAATTATGTCTGGTCTCCTTGTGGTTCACACAAGGAGCAAGGGTGAACCACCTGCACCAGGCTTGCTTGAGTTGCTTGATAAAATGCATGTTCCTGGGATATATCCCAGATATACTGAATCAGAATTAGACATAGAAACCAGGAAGTTCATGTTCAACAACCTTACCAGGTAATAGGTATGCACACTATCTGAGGGTTCTTACCCTGCAGTGGTGCTTCCCATATTTCAGGGTGCATTAAAACCACCAGGAAAGCTTGCACAAGCCAGGGTTCTGGGATCCAGAGATTCTGATTCAGAGACCATAGGTGGGGCTGCAGATTTTCATTTCAATCTCACAGGTGATGCTGATGCTGCTGGTTAGTGGACCATATTTTCAGTTCGCTATCTTAGAGAATTCCTGATTTCGTTATCAAAGAACTCAGATACTGTGGTAGGTCACTTCTGAAATGATCCCCAGTGATTCCTCACCATTTGGTATTCAAGCTGTTGATAAACACCCTCCTCTTGTGGGAGCTGGACCTAGTGACTCACTTATTATGAATTGAATAGGCAAGACTAAGGAGATGTCACTTCTGTGATTAGGTTATGGAAAGACAGTGACTTCCTTCTCTCCTGCTCACTCTGGTTCTTGCTCCTCTTGTTTGCTCCCTCTAGTGAAGCATGGTGCCATGTTGTGACTGCCCCGCAGAGAGGCCCACGTGGCAAGTGGCTGCAGGAAGCCTCTGGCCAACAGCTAGCCAAAAAACTGACTCCTAACAACAACTCTGTGGGTGAGCTGGGAAGCCCATCCTTCTCTAGTTAAAGTTGAGATAACTGCAGCCCTGGCTGATTGTAGCCTGTGAACCACCCTAAGCCAGAGGACTCAGCTAAGTCATGCTTGGATTCCTGCCCTGCAGAAACCATGAGATTATAAGCATTTCAGGCCACTCAGTGTGCTATGCAGTGATAGGTCATTAATAGAGATGCTTTGCAAAGCAGCTACCCTGAAATCAACAAGATGCCCTGTAGTTGGGTGTGGTGGCACATGCCTGTAGTTCCAGCTACTCAGGAGGTTGACACTGGAGGATCACTTGAGCCCCAGAGTCTGAGGTTGTAGTGAGCCCTGACTGTACCACTGAACTCCAACCTGGGCAACAGAGGAGACACTGTCTCAAAAAAAAAAAAAAAAAAAAATGACATGTCTTGGTATTCTCACCCATCCTTCAAGTCCTCCATCTCATCTGTCCCCATTGTGGATGAGAAAAAATGTGTGTGTAAATGTAACTGGACAATATTTAATCATATATACTATTTATATGTAATTTATGCCATAATTTTCTTAACACTCAATTTCCAAGCCTTGGCTCTTAGAAAGCTTCCCTGGAGCTTGTTATGTGGGAGCACAGCCTTATGGCAGGAGGAAGATAGTGAATCCAAGTCGGGTTTCGTGCTATCCATCTGGCCATTCTGAGGCTGTGTCTTTTGAGCTAAGAGCCTGGTGAATTCTCTCCTGCCCATCTCTGTGAGCATGAGGAGTGATACACACTTTGGTTCTGAAGAAAGAAATGGAAAAAACTACAGGTTCCTCTGCTGGCAAGCGGAAGGGGTCTTTCCCTGAGAAAATTGGTGAAGAGCACAAATTCCAATCGGCTTGGCTTTGCACCAGTGCAGTGACTGATTTCCTCACTGGGGGAGGAAGGAAGGTTCCTGGAGGGCAAGATTCCTCATCTTCTCCAGAATTATGTATGGAGAAAGTGCTTTTCAGAGGCTGTTTGTGTGGAAGGCAACAGTCAACTGGTAAAGACTCCAGATGCAAAGCTTGGAACCAGGAATTCTCATCGCTGCACCAGCAAATCTTTCTGTGACCTGCAATGAGCCTTCCAGACTTCATTCTTCTCATTGTAAAATGAGGGGGCTGGGCCAGGTAATGACTCGGACCCTCCCAATGCGTATTTAAGAGCCTAGGGCAGTGGGGTCAGAGTCTGGCCATGCCAAATGTCCAGAGACAGGACAGCTTTTCTCAGAGGGCCAGGCCACCGCCACTCAGCCACCGTGCCCTCTCTGAGGAGCACCCAGAGGGGCTGCTGTGCCACAGGGGGCTCTGGCAGATGTTGTCCAGCCTGCTCCTAATGGTGTCCTGAAGCTCGTCGTCACCCAGCAGGACCGCTGCTGCCAGGGCCAGCAGGAAGTACTCAGTGGCATCATGGGCATCCTAACCCCATGATGTGGGGCAAAGACAAGACAGCATTAGCAAACACTTCCAGGACAGGCTAGGAGGCTGTGCTGGCCCCTCTAGCTTTTTTTTTTTTTTGCCCAACATCCCATCCCCATCTCCTGCGTCCTTAGGGGAGCTCCTCTCTCCCTCCACTGTGGTCCTTGGAGCACTGCTAATCACAGTGCCCTGCACTCCAGGCACAGAGGTGGTCCCTTGCTGAGGCTCAGCCAATCATGAAACATCATTGCCCTGGGCACGGTGCTTCAGGGATGTGTACATGACCCAAACTTGGCCTATATCTGCCACTCCCTGGGACTTTCCACTGTGTCTCAATAAGGAAAAAGGTCCCTCTGAAGTGGCAGGTTCAGAGGTGGACTTAAACTGCCAGTAGCTAGAAGGGGAAAAGGCCAAAAAAGGAAGCAAAGTAGAAACATACAGAGTCAAGAAATACAATGAGAGGTGGGGAAATCCCTGATGACAATTGAGAAACAGGATCCAGAGCTATCTGCAGTTAAATTTGTAGCTCAGCTTTCACATTCTTTGAGCCAGTAAGTTGCCTTTTTTGCTTAAGGAAGTTTGAATTGAGTTTTTCCCTTTACAATCTATAGAGTTCTTGGTTGACATGATCAGATCACACACTTTGTCCCTGAACCACTTCGTGGGAGCTGTGGGGCAGAGGCAAGATGGCTCTTCACCATCTTGAGGGTCCTTCACTAGCCCCTGGACCTCCCTACTTGGTAAAGATGAGAAACAGATGCTTCTTTGGGTGAGACTCAAAAGGCTGCCTGGTTTCCATTAACCCTCATAAATCAGTAATTAATTCAGGCCAGAAGCAAAGCCTGGCAAATAAGAAACGGACAGCAGAGCTGCCCTGAGGGTTCCCTGGGGGCCAAACACAGGACTGACTCAGAAACCACTATATTAAGAGATTAAGGGTCGTGCTTCAGGGGACAGGGACCTCTGGTAAAAGGAAGCCAAATCTAGGGACATAGTTTGAGGGTCAGGGTTGTAACAGAGACTTGCAACCAACACAACTCTAGAAGACACCAAAAATATAAGAAGTTCTGGGATGGGCATGATGGCCTACTACAACTGTAATCCCACCATTTTGGGAGGCCGAGGCTGGCGGATTGCTTGAGTCCAGTAGTTTGAGACCGGCCTAGGCAACATGACGAAACCCCATCTCTACAAAAAATACAAAAATTAGCCAGGTGTGGTTGCATGCACCTGTGGTCCCAGCTTCTAAGGAGGCTGAAGTAGAAGGATTGCTTGAGCCCCAGATGCAGAGGCTGTAGTGAGCCAAGACTGAGCCATGCTACTCCAGCCTGGGCTACACAGCAAGACCCTGTCTCAAAAAAATAAAGCAAGCAAAAAAAGAAGTTCTAGATTCAGCAAGCAAGAGAAGCAGGGCTAAAGCCCTCTTAAGATCTAAGTATACTTAGTTTAAAGGCCCCATACCTCATTATCTCAAACATGTTAATATGCACCCACATTTCTCATAAAATGTTCTTTTATATTACTTTATAAGAAATGAGTTGCAGTTGACTAGCTGGTCTGTAACATTTTATGGACATGCTCTTAAGTATTCATTTTAATCTTCATTTTAGACCTTAGAGTTGTTTTGGCGTCTTGTATATTTCCATAGGCCCTTGAGAGACTCACAGGCAATGTGCCTAGAGTATCTGACAGATAAAGCAGCCACAGACATGGTGACAAGGCAAGGAGAAAGAGGAACCATGGTCTATTCCTCAGCGAAGATGGGAGCACCTTTGAGGTCTTCAGCTGGGCTAACTGGAAAGAGCCTCCATGTCCCCTGTAGAGCCACTCCTCACCCAATGAAACAAGACTCCTCATCTTGGCACTCTGGTTTTCTCAGCTCCACCCCAAAGGCTCCTCATTGTCTTTGCGTCAGGAAGGAGAATGGTTGGGTAGTGGCTCTCAGGAAATCTTGGAAGTCTGGCTCTTACCTTCAGCTGGCAGAAGGTGAGTCGGCCCAGGCGATAATACACCTTGGCATAGTACAGGGCCTCCTTGGGACTCTGCAGCCAGGGTGGACAGAGGGACAGGGTCTTCAGGTAGCAGTCCTCAGCCATCTCATACATGTGCAGGGAGTAGTACACTGTAGCCAGGCGGTGAAAGGCCACCAGCTCCTGCCTCCGATCTCCTAAGAATTGGAAGACTGAGAGAGATACCCTGCAGCCAACACTTTGCAGCATTTGTTCACTCATTCATTCCATAAAACTTTTTGAAGGTCTACTAGATGTCAGGGACTGTGCTGGGGCATAGGGAATAAGACAGAAGAGGTGCCTGTACTCATAAAGCTTATTGTCTCACATGACAGACATTCCTTAAATAATCCCACAAACAAATGTAACATTACACGTGTCATAAATGCTACAAAAGAAAATGCAGGGCTCTATGAGAGTGACTTAGTAGAGGATGGGTGCTGGTCAAGGTTTCCTGGGGTGATTCCCAGAAGAAAATTGTCTCCTTATTGCAGATGCTACTGTAATGCAGGATTCTGGGAAGGAATTCTTCTTAAACCCTTTTACTGGGACATGGTGACAAGTCTAGCTTGATGGCGTAGCTAAGAATTGCAATGAATAGCTGTGTGTAATAAATGTCTTCCTCACACACAAGTCTCTCTCTTCAGAGAGCTCTCTTGGGTACCCCCATGCAGCAGTCTCTGCTTGGCCCCGTTACCCATTGTCAGTCTCAGATAAGCTGTAAACACCTGTTCACCCTTAAACCGTGCTTTAGAATGTTGGTTTCTAATGGGTCTATTACTTGTTGTTTGGTGGATTTGTTTTAATACAGAACGAACTTTTACAGGAAACAAAGGCTTACAATCATGTCTTTGGAATATTTGCAAGGTGACTGTTGGATACCATCTAAAAACATCACTTTAAAGCTTCAAAGAGCCAAAAGCCAAAATTAAAAGAGAAAATCTTAGAGAGAGAAAATTCTCTGATATGGAAAAGTCAACCACGGGGGAAGTACCTATAGAAAGGATGCATGCAGCCTCCCTTCAGCTCCCGACCAGTGAGAGATAAAAAGTGCTCAGAGGAGCTGCCTGGGGCCTCCAAGGCCTTTCCTGAGATTAGCACACAGTCACTCAGATGAGACCTTATGCAATAAGGAAAAAGGTAGGGAAAAGACAGAAGGAGCTCTCAAGAGTGCAATTAGACACAATAAAGTCCAGTATCATCCACATCCGATGCCCTTGAAAATGCCCAGAAGTCCCTCCTGGAATCATCACAGAATATTCCATTTACCCTTACATCTAATCAAGGCTTCTCTAATCAAACCTGCTTTTCTTCAAACACCAACATTCAAGATGAGGGGTTTTTTAATCTTTTTATTCTGCCATTTATCTGTTCTGATGATTTTTTTTTTTTTTTTTTTTTTTTTTTGAGACAGAGTCTTGCTCTGTTGCCCAGACTGGCATGCAGAGGCGCAATCTTGGCTCACTGCAAGCTCCACCTCCCAGATTCACGCCATTCTCCTGCTTCAGCCTCCGGAGTAGCTGGGACTACAGGCGTGCGCCACCACGCTCGGCTAATTGTTTGTATTTTTAGTAGAGACGAGGTTTCACCATGTTAGCCAGGATGGTCTCCATCTGCTGACCTCATGATCTGCCCACCTCGGCCTCCCAAAGTGCTGAGATTACAGGCGTGAGCCACCGCACCCGGCCTCTGATAACTTTTATTGTTTTCCACTAGCTTTTGACATAAACACAAGATATTCAGCTATGTTCTGACTTAGGGTAACGGGAACCTGACCTTCATTTACATTTTAGCTTCATGGAAAAATGCACTTTTGACTAAAAATTAACTAATTTAAAATTTAGGGCGCAGTCCTTTTGCAATGGGAACATAGCCTACACAGAGAATAAAATACCATTTACTTTACACTTGGGGAACAGCAGCAACTGTAATATAATAATTAGTGTGGCACAGGCAACACTTACCAAGGACTTACCATGTACCCAGCATTGTGCTGTGGCCGTTACATGGATAATCACTGGTCTTCATAACAACGACCATGAGGCGGGCACTATTTTTAATCCTGATTTGGTGATGACAAGCTTGAGGCTTACAGAAGTTAGGCAGCTTGCTTAACTAAGGTATCCCTGACAGTTGGCCCTGGGATTTGAACCCACACAGTCTGACTCCAAAGCCTGTGCTGTTATTGCTTTGCTGTCTATCCTTGACCAGTCACCTCTCCCATTCAACACACCCGACAGTGAAGACCACCAACCTGTGACTGTGCTGAGCCTGGCGGCCAGGGTGGCAAATTCCAAAGCCTTCTCATAGCCTTCGAGGCTGATCTGCAGCTCTGTCAGCTTGTTGAAAATCCGGAGCTCAGTTCTCACCGCCTTCAACCTCCTTGCTAAAGGAACAGCTCCAGCCTAAGAACAGAGGCCCAAGGAACCTTAGTCTAGCTAGGAATCATCAGTGCATACCATAGCTAGGAGGCTTATCTTCTACAGGCAGGGGTTGGGGGATGGCAGTGGACTAAAACAAACGGGGGTCAGCCATGTTTCCTTGTGTGCCTTTACTCAACTCTCTCCTGGACCTTGCTCATGATGTTTTGCCCAGATCTTAAAGAAGTAGAGGGCATTGGGCCTCCTAAAATTGGGGAAACCTGGAGCAGAAAAGGGAAGTGGCTTTTCCCAAGGTCACGTGGAAAGTCGTTCCCTTCTCAGCTGTGTGCTCTCAGCTGTGCATCCCTGTGGATAGCATCCATGGCGCTATCTATGAAGTACACATGAGTACACACAGTGTGGGAATATCTCAAAAAGTGGTCATTTCTATGTTTTTATTATGATAGAATTTCAGGCAAATCCCTTCATCTTTCTGAACCTTAGTTTTCTCATCTACAAAATGCATATGAAAATAAGCCCCCCAATAGTCAGAGATGCGTTCCCTGTTCTTCTCCACCCAGCTCAGTGCCTGGCACAGACTGGGTGTTTGCTAACGTTTGATGACTGAATAAACAACTGAACAAATAAATAAATGAATATCTGAATGAATAAAATTTTAGGATCAAATTAGATAATGAGAATTCCTAAACTTCAGTCAGTGATGAAAAACAATCACAATCTTTGACATATCCGCTTAATATCTGGACATTCATTTAATTTGTGTTATTCTTAACATCAACTCTTTTTCTTGCCTCATGCGTTGCAATACTATCTGAAATCATAGGTTTAATGAGCTCACATTATGTTTTTCATTTAAAAAGATATATTTTTTTTTTTTGAGATGGAGTTTCGCCCTTGTTGCCCAGGCTGGAGTGCAATGGTGCTATCTCAGCTCACTGCAACCTCCGCCTCCCAGGTTCAAGTGATTCTCCTGCCTCAGCCTCTCAAGTAGCTGGGATTACAGGCAGGTGCCACCATGCCCAGCTAATTTTTGTATTTTTAGTAGAGACAGGGTTTCACTATGTTGGTCAGGCTGGTCTCGAACTCCTGACCTCAGGTGATCCGCCCACCTCGGCCTCCCAAAGTGCTGGGATTACAGGCGTGAGCCACTGCGCCCGGCCTAAAAAATATATTTTAATACATGCTTATTAAAAATATGATCAAACAAAAGCACTCATCTACATAACCCTTTAAATAATCTCCCACCGCACTCCCAGTAGTAAGTGCGAAACACTGGTAAACTCGAAAGTGTGCTGCAAACTGTAAAGTACCATGCACCCAAGAGTTCGAGATGGTCTTGAACTCCTGGACTCAATTATTTTGATGTATTATCCCAAGAAGGATAACTTATCAAGCCTGAGAATGACTAAGTTTATCAGAACCTTCCCTGAGCTCCCGCTAGATTGAAGAGAGGGTGAGTAGGTGGGCACTGGACAAGAAAGAGAAAAATGAAATACAAGCAAGAGAGGAGAAGAGGGACCCAGGTCGAAGTCCAGCCTGACCCTGCCCATGCCTGTGCCAGGACTTGTCCCAGCAAACTGCACAGCTTGGACTTACTCTGTAGTACTCTACTGCATGATGCCTGTGGCGGGTCCCATTGAAGAACACATCACCTGCTTCTTCATAAAGTTTGAGAGCCAGTAAAGGCTCCTCTGACTTCAGGGCTGTCTGGATGGCTGCCTAGTGGGGACAGAGACAGCTGTTAAAGGCAGAGAGGAGGGCTTCCAGACCTCCACAGGACTGGCAGAGCTAAGATGCAGACCACCTAAATCAATTAATCCTCTGCTAAAGTCCCCCAAATCCTAAATTGGTCTTCACACTCATAAGGCTGGTAAGAGGACTTTAGAGATTCTCCAGTCTGGCATTTCCTCATCCTGGTATGAGAGATTGCTTTTGGTGGTGCTAGATTATTTTTAATGGTATATAGAAAAACATTTTGTTTTACTAGTTAAGTATTTATTTTGATGTGTTTTAGAAAAAAAAAAAAAACTAATAGTGCATCCAACCTGCAACTTTAGATAGTATTGTGTAGAATAAGGCTAAGTGTAAAAAAAAGCTACATTGATTTGATGTTGAGTCAAAGAAGAAGAAGTAAACAATGGTATAGATGGTACATGTGTATAGCAAAACCATGAATTTAATATGTAAATAACTGAAATGGAAAAATAATGATCCAGTTCAACACCTTACACTTTCCAGATGGAGATAGTGTGGCTCAGAAAGAAAATAGAACCTCCCCAGTTTCACGCCAATAGTCACTGGCAAACAAATGTTGGTGTCTTCCATCCCAATACCCTAGCCTCCAGAGCTTCTTTATCTCTAGCAAGCTATTTTGGATTGCATCTACACCAAATGTGCTAAGGAAGTTGAAGAGTAAAGAATATACTGCTGCATCTGCAGCAGTTACAGGATCTCAAATAGCTTCAGGTCCAGAATGATTCACTTCCATGGAAATGACCCTGCACAACATCAATTAGGTGGCAGCCTGGGATTGGGTGAGGCCTGGGACCAGTTCTGGCCAGTGAACATTTCATCGCTGGGGCAAGACGCTGCAGTTGCTGTGTTATTGCATGGGCAGCTACAGAGAGGGGGCCAGTGAGATGGAATCCTGGAGTCAGGACCACCAAAACAATGCACAATCGGAACAGTGCCCTCTGGGCTTCAGTATCCCACAACATGAAAGGAGAAGAGTGAATTGTCTGCTCTCCGGAAATGCTTTCAGCCCTTAAATCGCAAGGCAGATGGCATAAAGGCTGAGAGTGAAGGCTCTACGTCACACTGTGTGCAGTTCTCAGCTCCACCACTTACCAGCTGTATCACCTTGGGCAAATTACTCAGCCTCTCTGAGCTTCATCTGTAAAATGGAAATTATAATGGAAACTCCTATTGCATTTATAATGAGGGTTAAACTACATCATGCAAGTGAGGTGTTTAGCAAAGTCTCCCGTACATAGGAAGCATGCAATCAGTGTTATGCAGCCATTATTAAGTCTCAGTAGAAGTGAATTTGTGCAAGTTTATGTGCTAGTATAAGGAGAAGTAAAAAGAGAGAAAACAAAACATGGGAAAGAAACATAAATTGGTACATTTTTGTAGAATTAAACATCTTACATATCATCACAGTACAATATTGTACAGATAGTAATAAAACACTAAAATATCATGTATTAAACATTTACTAAGTTCTGAGCACTTAATAAATGCTTACTATGCATTTACTACTACGCAAGTGCGATATATAAATTTTTGTTTTACTAATCCTTATGTTAAAAGACAGCGTTCAGTTCCCCCATAAAGAAACTGAATCCCAGAGATGTCATATGGCAAGCCCAAAGTCACGCAGTCAGTCCATATGTAATGGCCCTGGGATTTGACTCTAGGCTTTTCTCTCTTCAAAGCCTAGGCTTTTAACCACTACACTGTACCACATCTCTGATATTAAAAGTATGCAAACCAAAAAAAAAATAAGAGAATAATATTGTTAATACCCCACATACACACCAACCTTGCCTCAAACTGCAGCAAAACCCTAAAGTCAAGGTGTATGTTGAGCTTTGGAAAGACGGGTATACTTAATGGGACAAATGACGTTACAGGTGATATGTCAGTCTCCCCTCACATTCTCCCAGGGTGCACATGTATATATGGGTCTCAGCGACTGGCCCTTTGCTACCTGTACTCAGCTTGCCGGACCACCCTGGTTTCCACCACATGTTCAGGGAGCAGCCCAGTGTTGACCCCCTCTCCACGGGCTTAGGTGAACATCATTCCTCTCTGGTTCCAGCTGGTCAATTTGGAGGGTACAGCTGCCTCCCCATATGACCCAAGTCAACAACTCCCAGAGAGCTCTGCAGGAGGCCTACCTGCAGGTACAGCTCCACCAGCTCGTCTTCCTGCATGAGGTAGTGGAGTCGCCCCGCCCCAAGCCAGGCCTCGGCAGCCTTGTCTCTCTCCCCCAGGTCAATGAAGATACGCAGGCTCTCCTTGATGCATGTGAGTGACCTCCTGAGAGACCTGGGGACAGACATGAACTTGTGAGGTGCTAGAGCTCAAAGGGCCCTCAGGGTCCACTCAGCACAGAATGAAACAGAAGCTCTGAGCAGGAACAGCCACGTCCCACATCACACAGGGAGGTGGGCCTGACTGAATCCCAGCTCTACCCCAATCAGCTGTGTGACTTTGAGAACGTACAGGATCCTTCCTGCTTTGGTTTGCTTACCTGTAAAACAGGCCTGTAATTGTGCCCACCTGAGCAGATTGTTGTGAGGATTAAATGAGATAAAACTAGAGTGCTTAGAACAGTGCCTATTACGTCCTTGGCCCCTGATGAATGTTTAAAGATCACTTATAATTATTATTATTACTGATGCATGGTCCATCAACCCTTTGACTGCTCTATAACCTTTTTTGGTGTTATGTTATTGCAATGGTTTGTCTCTGTCCCCACCCAAATCTCACCTTGAATTGTAGCTCCCATAATCCCCACGTGTTGTGGGAGGCACCCAGTGGGAGGTAATTGAATCATGGGGCCATTACCCGCATGCTGCTGTTCTCATGATAGTGAGTCTCACGAGATCTGAAGGTTGTATAGAAGGCAGTTCTTTTGCCATTTAAGATGTGCCTTTGCTCTGCCTTTGCCTTCAGTCATGATTGTGAGGCCTCCCCAGCCATATGGAACTGTGAGTCCATTAAACATCCTTTCCTTTATAGATTACCCAGTCTCAAGTATGTCTTTATTAGCAGTATGAGAATGACCTATTACAGTTACTAACACAAAGTAGACACCAAACGCATACCTATTGAGTGAATGCATGAATGAGTGACAACAGTGGTAACTTTAAGTCATCAGAAAGATTTTGATGTTTTGTTTATAAAGAAAATCAAAGCAGGGTGAAAGTTTTAACAGGTTGCTGCTTAACGGGTGCCCTTTAATTATTTGGAAAATTGTATTTTGTAGAAAACTCTCCCTCCACGACAATGGAGGGACCAATGAAGAAATGAGACATAGGTAATATATTTTCTCATAGACGATTCAGTATTCAAAAACAAGGAAAGAACACTGTGCATCATCCAGATAGTAGTTCTCAGTCCCAGAAACAACTAGAGTCACCTGGAAGCATTTTAAACTTGTACACTGCCACACTCTTTCCCAGTGTGTTGCAACGTCGTGATAGCCTGAGCACCGGGCTCTCAGAGTATGGCTCAGGCACAAGCACTGTGTCTAAGTTCTCCATGTAATTCTGTCGTGCAGTTTGGCTTGAGACTTGCCAATCTAGTCCAATATTCTTATTTTATAGAGGAAACAAGCCCAGAAATGGGAAATAACTTACATATGTTTGCACAGCACATTAGGGGAAGATCCAAGGCCAGAACTCCCTTCTGAGTAGCAGCCTAGGACTCGTCCCATAACACTCATATTTCCTAAAACATGATTTGTGGCCCACCTGCATCAGCATTTCCTAGGGACCTTATTTAAAGCACAGAACCCCCACCCCAGAACTACCTCAGACTGACTAAAAAAGATTCATTACAGTTGCAATCCAGGAACCTGAATTCCTGAGACACACCCAGGTTACACTCCTGCATAGCGAAGTTTGAGAACCACTGCAGCAAACCACGCAACTCTTCCCAGAAACACTGATGATCATCAACCACATCTGTGGACACTTAAGTAGAAAGTCCTCAACAAACGTGGTTACCACTTGATCACAGACCTCTCAGCCGCCAGGCCCCTTTGTGCACCATGAGGGAAACAAGCATTGCTCTCAACTCCTAAGGCCCAGATCCTTATTGGCAATGAGGCAGCTGTTGGCCTTCTGGAGAGAGTGCCAGGCACTTGGCCTTTGTAAGAAACAGAAAGAAAAAACTCAAGCTTTCTCTTCTGCCCTGCTCTTAACATGAGATTTATTGACATCCCAGATGGGCCCTGGCCACCCTTCCACAGGTTTTAAAATGTGAAACTTCCTCTGAGAATGCAATGAGCTCAAAAACTCCATACCATGCTGCAGTGATCACCAACCTCCTCGGCTCAGCTACAGTAACCACAGGCATCTTTCACTATAGGAAGCCCTGCCCTTCTCTCCCCACTTTGTACCCTGCAAACTCAAGCCGGGTTCAGATTCAGCAGGCCTGACCTCCACAGCTCTCCTCACTCTCACTGGAGCAGTTGATGAGGATAAGACCCATAAATCTCATCCTCATCCTATTTCCTGCTCTGTTTTTTTATATTACCATTTACTGTCCTGGGATGCCCTTGGGCTACTACAGTTGTTTTCTCCAGACCTTCAGGGAACAAGATTTAGGTTATTACAGACAGGCCAACTAACAGAGCCAGCATTTGCTTCTTGTACTTTCTCCCTCTGAGTTCATTATGACTGTGGAAGAGAGGAGATCTCTATTTCTTTCCAAGAAACACCCCATCAGGGGAAGGCGAGACTTACGGAGACCTGGTGGCTTACACAGCACCATTGAGACTCCTTGCAAATGGAAGATTTTCCAAAGGCACTGCGTCTCACCAAGACTTGCCCATGATCTATGATCTCCAGTAAGAAACAAGTGCTTTCGTGGTCTAAAACTGGGCAGTAGTCCAGCTTCCTTGGTTCCCTCCTATCACCACTCACCCCCATTACTTTACATCTGCCAGTGGCCAAGCAGTGTCACCTACCAGTTGAGCACCAGATGGCCCAGCATGCCAATTCCTCCAGCCACCACTCGCAGACTCTAGGTTTGGTTTGGCTTCCAAAGCCAAAGAAGCAAGGAGCACTGCTGGTGGGCCAGCACTGCGTCAGCCTTGTGTACTTCTGGGTCTCCTGTGCCTGTGTTCCAGCATGTTATCTCCTCTCCTTTCCAGTCTTGACTCATCTCTTTCTCTCATTTTTCCTGTCCTCAAGTTCAGTCTCTGGGGCTAAGTCTTTGTTTCTTCTTCCCTGCCTGAACATCAGCCACGAGCCCATGGCCAAGTGACCCCAATACACCTGCATTTCCAGACTTCCTCTTACCACCCCCTGCTGGGGCTTCCCGGATCCCTGCCCTGCCTGAATGAGTCTGTCTGATCTCTGTCCAAAGCCCAACCTCTGCTAATTGATCTTGTCCTATTTTTATGATAAAGATGGCCAAAAACTGAGGACTGACTCTGTGTGAGGCATTGGATATATACTTTCAGTAGGCATTTTCTCATTGAATCCCCACAGAAACCCCAAGCCATTAGAATTCTTAGTCAATTTTGCAAATAAAGAAATCCAGTAGGATGTTGTTGTTTTGATCTGTCTTTTGAAACGTATCTAAGTTTTCCTGCACGTTTCCAAAGCCTTATTTTGATGTCTCAACTGCTTTGTCTTCTAATAGTAACAATGCAGTATTATTACCGGACATCTATTGAGCACTTAGTGTGTACTAGGTACTTTACATGCAAAATCTCATGTAATCATCACAACAGCCCCAAGAGATCAGTACTATTATTATATTCATTTTACTAATAGAAAAAAAAAAAAAAAAGACTTGGTAAGGGTGACTATCTTGGACCAAGTAATAAACCCTGTTTAAAACAGGATCTAACTCTCAGAGTCTGACCCAGACCCTTACATTTACACCCTCAAGCAGTGCCTAATTCCTGGCTCAGATATCAGCACTTGGGAAGACTTTTGTTTCATTTACCACTTTAAAAATCCTGATGTTTTAAAAGACATAAGCTATTTTAAACCTTGAACAAAGTCTCCTCATGTGTGAAACTGGGGTGGTAGTGTACATTATAGCCTTGTGATCAGATGAGGACATTTCAGGAAAAGCAATTCTTTCCTTATTTACAACAAAAATGAGGAAAGAATTGCTTCTGTGTTAGGGATTAACATATTAATTATATTTTTTAAAACATAGCACTTTTTTCAGTTCCAGAAAAATAAGAAGCATAAATATAAGAAGAGAAGCCAGGAGCAATGGCTGCTAGGCTACTGTTGTATTCACATGCACAGAATTAATCATTATTTTGAGAGGACCTATTATACACAAGGCATCCCTTCTTTCTAAAAATAATAATATGCACATCCTTTGTGGCACTTACCACAATTTATATGATACCTTTAGTGGCTATTTATACGTTTATTTTCTGTACCATTCTGTTATTGTGAGCTCAGGAACTATTATCACCCTTGTTCAGTTTTTAGCACAGTGCCTAGGCGATAGTAAATGCTCAGTAAATATTTGTTGAATTGATTTAATAGATTTCATAGAGCCACGGAGTTCTCACGGACCCCCATCTGGCTCAGTTCTATGGCCAGTCTGTGTTGTGTCACCTCAAGACAGAAGACAAGACTCCCTCAGATCCCTCCCATTGAGAGATTGCAAGCCTTTATCAAGCTAAATTCTGTAGTTGTCCCCTGGAAGGCAGAGAAGGCATGATCCTGCAGATATTACACAAAGGGAGAGAAAAGTGTCCCAGAGTAAAAACCTGAAGGCTGGGACAAAGTCTTCAATATCTGCCTGTGCCCCACCAGCAACCACCCCCCTCCCCAACACACACACACCATAACCCACTTCTAAACCCTAGAGAAAATCTTTCAAACAAGAGAAATTAAAATCAGTAAAAAGGCAACATGAGATCGTAAAATTGAGAAGTCAAGGATCTGAGCTAGTACCAATGAAACCAAGTGGTGAAATTGTCTGGACCCTCTGTGTCAGGCAGGGGACAGACTGATGAAAAACGAGGTCCCTCCATACAATTCTACAAGGTTGCACTCTATAGCCTTCCATACCTATTTCTTTTGTCTAAGGCAAAAATTATTGGCTGGGTGGACAGAATACATAGAGTGCTTAAGACTATGCATTTTAGATCAGGAGTTGTTAAACTATGGTCCATGAGCCGAATACAGCTTTCAATCTGCTTTTGTAAATAAAGTTTTATTGGAACACAGCCACATTTATTCATTTATGTATTATCTATTTTCATACTACAACTGCAGAGTGGAGTACTTGTGGCAGAGATCATATGGCCCACAAGGCCTAAAACGCTATATGATTCT